GATTATATGTTTCAGGGCCAGGGATGTAGCTCAGTGGCACAGCACCTGCCCAGCAAGTGCTAGGCCCTGAGTTCAATTCCCAATACAAATAAATAAATAAATACATAAATAAATAAATATCTTTGGTGCCTAGGAAATACTGACACATAGCAAACCCATGCAAATAAGAGGCTATTTATTAAATAAGTGCGAAGCTTATTGAACGTTGCTGGGAAATCAAGGAGTATACTTCTCCATCCTGTGTTTCCATTGACCCGCCAGTAAGTAAGAAAACAACATTCACCAAATTCAATGAAATAGCACCTCAAGCAGAACTCAGATGAAGTTACACATAAACTTATTAACTTCAAATCCTTTAAGTACCTTAGTTTAGATAACCCTAGGCGCTGTAACAGATAAACTCTGAAATCTCAAGCATTTAATATAATAGAGGTTTATTTCCTGTTTACTCACCGACTAGTTTTTGTCCTGAGGCCTCTGGCTGAGACTCAAGTATATGAAGGCTCCACTGTCTACCAACTGTGCTTTCAGACTGCATGGGGCTTTACGGCTGTCAACAGTTAGTGAACAGGTGGGAAGAATGAAAACAGAAACTGTACTTGAAGAATTTGCAGGGTCAGCCCACGAGTGATGAACTTTACTTCATTGTATTCCACTGACCGGAAACCACTCATCTGGGCTAACTAGGTGCAAAGCAGGCTGGGAAATTTAGTTTCTGGCTTCGAAGCCACTTCTAACCAACACCTCTACATTACAGAGGTAAATAAGAACACTTGGTAGTTAACTAGTTGTCTTTGCCACTGTGGCAACTTCCTTTTAAAAAACCTGATCACAGTGGATCTCATTTTTGGAGGTCCGGGCCTGCAGTTTCAAAGGCAACCTGAGTATATCAGAGTATAAATTCAGTGTGATGACTGCAAAGCAGATCAGTTGAATTTGCAGTTCCATAATCACCCCTTTTAAACTTCATCCACTTAAAAACAATGTGATATCATCTAGACTCATTTCCTATATTCAAAGAATCTTTAGAGGTAGATGGAAAACAGAAAATTCAAAATTCTAACTGGCCCCAGGAGGAAACCTCTCACTGTCAGAGCCATTAAAATCCTCTCCCAAATGGTAGCCTCAGTCTCACCAAACTACTAATTCTGATATGCTTTCCAACAGAGTCAAAGTTCCTGCATATCCTCAGTAGAGAACCAAAGTGATGTATATCCATCCAATCTATTTCTCAGAAAGAAATTTGCTCTCATCTCCATTGTGCAATTTCTCTTCAAATATCTTTGCCAGGTTTCTTTTCAACCAGCTCTGGAGCCAGAATTTTCAGTCTACTATGTTACACAACGTATAAGCCTGAGTTTGGGCATCAAGAAGCCTCTACTAACCCTGGAAATATTTTTTTCCTATGAGAAGGTTGGCCACAAAATAAGCTCATTCATAATACTTAACTTTTTTGGGGGGTACTGGGGATCAAATTCAGAACCTTGCACTTGTGAGGCAGGCAGCAGAACTACTGAGCTAAATCCTCAGCTCAGTACTTAACTATTATATTAGTTTTTGATATGCAAATAGCTATAAATGAGCCAAGCTATAAACATACTTTTTTGGAGATTGATATTAAATAGCAAACTGCAAACAAATGCATTGTAGTATAAAAATTCATTAACCTCCAACAAGGCATCACCATAATAAATATCGTTTTTTAGCACACCAACTGTTTACTATGAACTAACAACAGACTATGCACATTGTTGTACATTCATCTACTCATTTAGACTTTACCACAGCCCAACGAGGAGTTACTGTTAATATGACTCCATTCTGAGGGTCAAATAATTTGCCCAAGATCATACTTCACGTTAGGAAAGACTAGCTCTTAAAACAGATCTTCTTGAGGCCAGACTAATTCCTCAACCACTGAGCCCCTTTCAGAACAAATACTACTTAATGCGTTGCATGTTTTAGACAAATTATTTGCTAACCAAGGAAAGCAATTTCCCATCTTCTCCTGGTTTTATAGTTTAAGAAGTAATAGCTAAACATGTAGAGTAATTGTGAGAGAGAGGGAGAAGGAAGAGAAAAGGGAAAGTGGAAAGAAAGGGACCAAACTCCTTAGAATCACCTGTGCGGGGAAATAATCATAGTTGGCAGTCATTCTCCCAAATTTATATGATTTTATCAAATAATCTTACCTGTGTAGTCCATGGGATCTAGGTTCTACTCCCTACCACTCATCAGCTGTATGATCTAACATTATAAATTAGATTATTTAATCAGTCTAAGCCTATATTTTCTCAAATGTAAAACAGAGAAAATAATCACAAGCCTATCTGCACTCTGCATAGTACAAGGACCAAAGAGTTAAGTGTGAAAATATTTTGGGGACTTTTTTTAAATAGCAGAAACAAAAACAAAAACAAAACATATACACATCGTGGTGTACTACCATAGTGGTTTGGACGTTGATTATTTGACTAGAGAGCTCCTGGACAAAAGTAACTCTAAAGGGAAATCTTAGTATCACAAATAGATTCAAAGCACAGCTGACTGCTGGGGCTGAAAGAGGAACCCAGAGATCCCTGCTCTCCCGTGACCCCTCCTCACCTCTGGGGAAAGTGGTGAAGGGTTGGATGAAATGCTTTGACAGTCCGCTCGCAGGAGGGACGACATTCCGGAAATCTAAATCACTGGGTCTTGCATCATTAGAAAGGAATGATTCCTTCCAAATGGACTAACAGCCTCACACACACGGGCAACATCCTAACATGCTTTCCCCGAGGTAAATGCGAGCACAGATCCTGAGAGACACACCCTCCTCGCCTTGGGCCTCTGCACTATCAGAAACAAAGGGCACACCAATTCCACGCAGGGTCACAGCTGGTTGCTTCATTCTCTCCTCACACTGCTGTAAATCACTTGTCTGTGAAAGTGTGTGCCGGGCTAAGACAGGGACTTTAGGAAGAGTAGACTTCCATCCTGACCCCCAGGGGCCTCGGCACCACAGAGAGATGGAAGCAGACATCAAGCAGCTAGACCTTGGCTCTATTGGGAGTGTACACAAGGCCCTCGAGGCCTGGCTGGCCGCACACTGGGGCATAGGGGCCTGAGCTACAGCCAGCTGTTTTGCTTAGATCTTGGCTCAGATCCTGGTTCCATGGCTCCTGTGAGGCACTGGAAAAGTTGCGTGACTCCTCCACCTCAGTTTCTACACTCTTAAAATGTGGAAAACAATCGGCCAACGCTGTGGGGTCTTAGGGGATGAAAAGAATAAAACATAAGAAGCACTTAGATGAGCACCTGAAACACAAGAAGCGTTCAGTAACTGATAACTGATAGGAGTCTAGACCAGGGAGAGAGGCCTCTCAGCAAGAAAAGCCTGGTGGTAAAAAGCAGCTGCTGGAGACAGGTGGCCAGGGCTCCAGGCCAAGTTCAGCTACTTTCCAGCTGCACCACCTTGGACAAGTTAGCAGCCTCCTTCCTCCAAGCCAGATGTAATGGCATGAAAACTGTGAGGCACTCAGCCTGTGATGGCAAGAACGCTACCAGGTGGCAGTTATTATGGTTGCTGATGACTGGGCGGTCACAGGGAGAACGGCCAATCTCCCACGGAAGGAACTAGGAAGGACAGCAAGGTGTCACTGACACTGGGCCTGTCCCGGTTGGCAGGTGCTGGGTTTGTCAGGAGTTTGCACTGCTCGTGCTCCTTCTGTGCACTTCCAATTGTCCTTTCTTTTCCAGAATAATCACAAAACGAAACGCAACTGTCTAAATAGAGATGGGGGGGGGGAAGAGGAGAAAGGGGGGGTGTGGGAGGGGAGGAGACTGGAGAAAGGAAGGGGATGGGAGGGGAGGAGACACCGCTGTAGGCAGTCTGGGCTCGGGAGTGTGTGTGTATGCGTGCGTTCACCATGTCATTCTGCTGTCTCCAAACCTTCCACAACTCCCTGTTCACTCAAGGATAGAGTCTACATTACCTGGCCTGGCTTTCAAAGCCTCTGCCACTTACACCCAAGCATTCACTGCCCTCCTGGGCTAACCCTATCGTCAGGACTCACAGAACTTCGATACCTGGGCAGTTCCTGCCTTCACACCTTGCCTCATACTCCTCCTAATCTAAAATGTGTGGGCTTTCCCTTCCCTCTCTCATGACCTAAAGCCCTGCCTCCTTCTCCTGCCTGTCAGCCTACACGAGTTCCCACGCTTGGCTTTGCTCCTCTGAAGTCCTTAGCCCACTCACTTGTCAGGACTTGGTCTGGGTTTATGGGCGCTTTGTGCCCTCCCACGTGCACCAGAGACATTCTCAACATAGACACAGCCGCTTGGACTTCTCTGTGTCTCTCTCAGCCCTGCCACACACCACTATGAACATTTCCACTCAGAGCCATGCATGCAACAGGGATTGTACTTGCTGAAGACCTCAGAAAATAAATCAGGATTCATAAGCTACTGATATTTGGAAGGTTAATGTTTAGTGTATTAATCTGAGCACTGTTTATGCGTATTATGTAGTATAGTATAATAGTTAAAGAGAAATAAAGTATAAAATAATTATCCTAGAAGGTTAAATCTGGATGGAAAAACACAGACAAGCGTAAAAGAAATATAACATTCAATCATGATTCCAGCTGCAGTTCATGATGAAGTCAAGGAAAGAAAAGGTTCACAGGAAGGTGGAGAGCTTTGGCCCTGGCGACCAACTGCAGAGAATAAAATCCCCAAGGCCTGGCTTGATTGTAATAAAGAGTTTCACTATATAAACAGTCATATCCTCTCTGCTCAGAAGGGGCAGTTTCCTGGCTTTGATGTCCACTGCAGGATTTTCACTCTGGTCTAGGTTGAGCTGGGGGAACTGGGAAGCACCTTGCCTCTGCTTGTTTCTGTCTGCCAGTAGTCTAGAGACTATACCACACAATACCAGTAGCACACAGCAGGACACAGAGCTTTCCTGGGTGGTCCTGAGGAACTCGGTTTGCCTAACAGCCCCACCTTCTCATTCACAGATCGGCTACTGGAGCGAAGATGATAAATTTGTGCCTGCAGCCACTGATGCTCAAGCCGGTGGAGACAACTCCAGCGTCCAGAACAGAACATACATCGTCACCACCATCCTAGTGAGTACTCACTCCTTCCTCAAAGCTAATTGGGATTCATTCCACCTCCAGCTACAGCAGTCTCCCTGAAGAGGGAGAGCTGATTACTGTTCTTGCCAGGCGGGGCCAGGGAGTGGCGGAAAGAATGCCCTGCGAAGGAGAGTTTCTGAGTCTTCACTCAGCGTCTCTTAGACCCTTTGTGTCACTTTTTATCCAGGGCTAAGCCACACACAAGCTTCCTTAAGATCTAGTTCTCTTTCCTTCAATATTTTTTAAAAAGACAAGATGAAAAAGGGCTCTTAAAACATAATTTGAAAGGCTGTGTAACATGTCAATGATGAAACACTGTTATTTTAACAAATGTTGCTTCCCTGACCCAAAAAATTTATAACGGGGGACAGAAATTCTGAAGTACATCTAGAGACTTCTGCAGGGTTAATCGACGCTGGTGATGTCCTCCTCCGCCATGCCCAAGTCTTCCCTGCCCACAGGTAAGCTCATAAACCACATTCTCTGTCTCCCTCTTTCTCTACCAGGAAGATCCTTATGTGATGCTCAAGAAGAACGCCAACCAGTTCGAGGGAAATGACCGCTACGAGGGCTACTGTGTGGAGCTGGCAGCGGAGATTGCCAAGCATGTTGGCTACTCCTACCGTCTCGAGATCGTCAGTGACGGGAAGTATGGAGCCCGAGATCCTGACACGAAGGCCTGGAACGGCATGGTGGGAGAGCTGGTTTATGGAGTAAGTTCTTCCCGGTGTGGGATAGAGAGGGCAAGAGCAGAGAGTTTGACAGGAAAGCATTTGAGGGCTGCATGGACCTTTGCGTGACCCCATAGTGGAGCATGGTTGTCACTGAATAGACAAGTCACCCACAACCTGCTGTCTTCAGACACATGTTGCTCAGGTGCCTGGTCCCAACGCCTTCATCCTCACTCAGGGTCTTGTCATTTCGGTTGACTGTTGCCCAACACACAGGAAGTGTAGCTTCAAGATCCATTTCCTTGAGGCAGATTTCTGGGTTATCATTTTCCAGAAAGTTATATGTCACACCCTCAGTGTCAATCTATTCCCTTGGATCAGGTGAACCCAGATCCAACCTATTTTTCTAGTCACTCGTTCCTGTTCTTCCTCTGATGCAACTTTCAGTTCAGCCAAACTGTTCTTCACTTACTCTGTTCTTTAGAACGCTCCCTGCCATCCTCCACCTCTAAAACCTTCCTCTTCACCTTGTAGCAAATATTACTTATACCTAGGTTTCTTCTTTCTCTGAAAATCACATTTGAATTTTCCTTTGAGCTGTCCTCGCTTTCTGCCATAGAACTTAGCTTTATGAGGTTTACTCTGCCTTGTGTAATGCTTAACTGTGCAACAGAGACAGGTCCACTCTGATTTTTTTAACTCATCACATTTGGGATAACTCCATGCATAAGTGCTGTAAAAACTTATAAATAATAAGTTTTATAAATAAACAGAAGCCACTAAATACCTGACATTTTTTTCAGTTTGGGGTAGTTATTAAAAACCAAACAATGCCAAAGGACCTGCATATTGTGTTGGGGTAGGAAAGTCAATAAGAAAGAAACTAAGCATAGAATCGAGGAATGTGAGTCATACAGTTCATACAAGAGCCATCGTGAGCTTTTCTAGCTCTCAAGAAAGGAACTTGGAAAGAGGCCACAGTGAAATAGAGAGAAGGGCAGCCTGAGAATTTCTAAACTATATTTTTGATGGTGGAACAAGTAAGTAAGACATGAGAGTACAGTGAGAAAACATCCCTTGGCCTTGAGCCTGGGTTACGAGGTGGTCAGTGACAGGTTGAAGTAGGAAGTTACAAGGGGGAAAAGGGGACAAGACCAGGGATATTGGGAAGAGAGATTAGAAAGGCCCTGGAGTAGAAGAAAAACAAAAGACAATAGAAGAACTGTGCCGCCATTTGCAGGAAAGAGGCCATAGTGGTTTCACTCGCAGACACTGAAGAGTCTGGGCTGGTCTTTGAGCTGAAGCCCATGTGCAGTCCAAAGTCAACACAAAGTGCTGGTCAGGAAGAAGCAGTCACTTCGGAGGATTGCCAGTCTCACTGTCTTCTATCAGGGCAAGAGAAGGTGTAATAGCTACAAGAGATATACAAAGAGGATTGAGAAAGAAAAAGACGGAGTAAAGAAAATATTCCTTGGGGAAGTGGCTCTGGAGAAGGCCTGTGAAGGCAGGAAATAGGCTGAGGAATGGGATGCGCTTCTCCCCTTTCTTCACCCTACCCTACCTCTTCCTTGGGAAGCTCTGTGGATGAAAGGCAAGAGACCTGCAGAGGTCACGCTGCATCTGGAGGCTGGTTTCCATGGGAACTTCCACTGTGCTCTTAAGGTCATCCCCATGGCAACTGCTGTGAACTTTTCACCTTCTCCAGCTTTCACCTCCACCTTCACCTCATGTAATGCAGCTCCCTCAGTGAAAAGCCTCTGATCTGGCAGAAGAATGGCCTGATCGTCCTGGCGACAAGACCCCTCATGCTGGGCCTCCGTGGTGAGTCACTGGCTCATCAGCTTCAGACAAACTGGACTTGCCCCTGCGTGTCTACGCTGCTAGGACAACCCCTCTACCTCTGTCTCCCCTTCACCGGGCCTGGCCTTCTGTCCAGTAAACACTATTTTCTGAAGACTCCATGATGGGCCCAGTTGTCACTTACTTTTCACCATATTACTTCCCTTTATTTTTCTGTTTCCCTGGGAAACAGCAGAGAGGGTGGGGGAAGGCTCTCAACCACAAACTACCCATGAAGTCAGGAAAAATCCATGAGAAACATCTCAGTTTACTGTTTCTGGGCTCTTGAAGAGCTGGTCTCTTTTTGAAAACAAAGCTGACTTTATTTTCTTTGGATAAGGTATTTTGATGTTTGATTTTTTTTTAATTGAGTTTATTGGTACAATCTAGGTATACAATACAATTACATTCATCATTGGGATTCTGTACTTTTACATAATAGGTCTTGATTCTCATTTTTTCCCCTTGTCCCTGCCCTCCCTTCACCCCCTCCACCCCTCCTCATTTATAAACACTTTGTTTCCATTTTTTCAGTTTCTCATATTTTTTTCCTCTCCCTTATTACCTTTCCCCCACCCTTCCCACTTTCCCTACACCTTTAGCCCTTTACTTCCTATTTCACATTATTAATTATCTCATTAGGATCCTGTGTACTATTATAGTTTTTCCCACCAAAGAAACTATTCGGTATTTCAGTTAAAGAAATCTCTGTATGAACATTAAAAATAGGTAATCCTAAAATAAAACTAAAAAGGAAAGTAAAAGAGAAAAGGCAATGATGTAACATTAAAATAATCCTTAATTCTGGAGATGAAAATGGTCCC